GAAGTACGTTCGGAGGCAGTGGCTAGCGAAATGTGGCCGGCCCGAACCGAAAGATCCACAGGCGCATGTATGCAGCGAACATTTCAAGTTTCCGGACGACTACTCTGAGAGTATGATAAAACATAACATGGGATTTATTGAACAACCATTACTTAATGGAGATGCAGTACCATCGGTCTTTCTGGTGTCATCACCGACCAGGACACCAGTTCGGCCAGTTGAGAAATCGCCCTCTTGCAAGTGTGAAGCGACGGAGGACCAGAAGTAGTGCTCGGAGTAAGAATAAGGTATGTTATAGGCGCATTTCCATTGCAGCGGGTAGCCCCGTTTAAACGTCCTTTATCGTCCAGGCCAGGCCAGTTTTTGGTGGCCTTTCCATATAGCGTAGTACCGGCTAGTGGGTATTTCCCCCCAGTTTTTCCGGCCCCATAAAATCGTGGTTCTAGGGCCAGGGACAACGAGGCTGAGTATGCTAAACTAGAGAGGGAATCGCTAGCAAGGGTGGTACTACATGCATACATATCTAGTAATCAAAATCATTGTATCTACTAAGTAGTACTAAGTAGGCTCGAACCTGTATGGCTGAATTCCCCCTTCCAATCTCTTCATATTGCTCAAAACTTCTTCCTCGGCTGACGAGTCCGAACTCAAATACTATGCCATGTTTTCGTGTGTTTACAAGGTGAACGCATGGATGACGTCACGACCATCACGTGACTACTGAAAATGGCCAAAATGGCAGCGGCCTGACGGAATATAAAGGTTTTGATAAAAAAGAGCTATAAAATCATTATTTACCGGGGAATATCACTGATTTCTTCAGGGTATGGTTTAAACATAATGTTTCACTAAATACTAAAGTTTTGATTAATTATCTAATGACTGGAGCATTCCTTTAATGACTAAATAGGACTGCTGAATTTTAAAAAGTGACTTCACTGCAGCTTTTAAAACCAGGAAAACAAACCTTTGCCATATGACAAACACAACTTAAATGACATCTCGTCTTATACACCGATAAGGCTATAATATCGATGTATAACCCAGCTTTAATAAGGTTTTCTATAAAGTACGATTCTAAATTGAGCCACAAACACACAAATGCTTTTAATATTGAAATTGCAGTGCAAATCCTCCATTATAAAAACCAGGTCTTGTGTCCTCTTCTTGATAGTAAACATATCTTTAAACTTGTATATTTTCTACTTTTTAAAAAAATGCTATTTTATTTCTATTTGAGATGTTTACATTTTGGATTGTTTATGTCTAGTCTTTTAACTTCTCTAATGCCTTGTCTTTGTATGCTCCCAAATTGATGAAGTACTTCTTATCTTAAAACGCACAAAGAAATGCTTCAAATATTGAAATTGCAGTACAAATCCTCCCTAATAACCAGGGATAGTGTGTCTTTTTCTAACTGTTCATGGGCTTTTCTCGGTAGTAACGATGCACACATCTCTCGTGGTTTATTTCTGTGTGTTCTCAATGAACACAAGTCCTCACCTAACATCTGATTTCTGTGATTCCTGAGCCTTTCCCTCTGCAATATTTCTCCCTCCTCTCTTATTGAACATCCCACCGCTCTCTGTAATGTTAGAGTATCTCTATTTGAGGAAAAGGGGCATTAACACAGGCTGCGTTTAACGCTCAGAGACGGTGAATGGTTTCTTTGTCTTTATGTCTGCGGATGTTTTCCGAGGAGAAGAGACGGTGCTTTTATCCAGAATAGAGGTCTTTCTTTCAGAAGATACTGCGGGTCAGGCAGGATCTAAAAGCTCACAAAGGAGACACTCCAACAGGACTGTCTTGTATTGGATATCCAGTTCCCTTCCTGACTTTCAATCACTAAAGTCAATATTGTCACATTGCTATCATCAGGACGGGCTCTGTTGTTCCTGCTATCAAGAAAGAGGGGTTTCAACTTTGAACTAAGACTCAAAACGCACCGTAAGTTTCCTGTATTAGATCATATATTACGACTAGTCTGAGAAACTACTTTCATAGGCTCATAAAGTACTTCTACTTTAACTCAAGTACAAGATCTGAGTACTTCTACTTTTACTCAAGTACAAGATCTGAGTACTTCTACTTTTACTCAAGTACAAGATCTGAGTACTTCTACTTTTACTCAAGTACAAGATCTGAGTACTTCTACTTTTACTCAAGAACAAGATCTGAGTACTTCTACTTTTACTCAAGAACAAGATCTGAGTACTTCTACTTTTACTCAAGTACAAGATCTGAGTACTTCTACTTTTACTCAAGAACAAGATCTGAGTACTTCTACTTTTACTCAAGAACAAGATCTGAGTACTTCTACTTTTACTCAAGAACAAGATCTGAGTACTTCTACTTTTACTCAAGTACAAGATCTGAGTACTTCTACTTTTACTCAGGTACAAGACCTGTGTACTTCTACTCAAGTACAAGATCTGAATACTTCTACTTTAACTCAAGTACAAGATCTGAATACTTCTACTTTTACTCAAGTACATAATCTGAGTACTTCTACCTTTACTAAAGTACATGCTCTGAGTACTTGTACATCTACTAAAGTACATGCTCTGAGTACTTCTACCTTTACTAAAGTACATGCTCTGAGTACTTCTACTAAAGTACATGCTCTGAGTACTTCTACCTTTACTAAAGTACATGCTCTGAGTACTTGTACTTCTACTAAAGTACATGCTCTGAGTACTTGTACTTCTACTAAAGTACATGCTCTGAGTACTTCTACTTCTACTAAAGTACATGCTCTGAGTACTTCTACCTTTACTAAAGTACATGCTCCGAGTACTTCTACCTTTACTAAAGTACATGCTCTGAGTACTTCTACCTTTACTAAAGTACATGCTCTGAGTACTTGTACTTCTACTAAAGTACATGCTCCGAGTACTTCTACCTTTACTAAAGTACATGCTCTGAGTACTTGTACTTCTACTAAAGTACATGCTTCTACTTCTACTAAAGTACATGCTCCGAGTACTTCTTCCTTTACTAAAGTACATGCTCTGAGTACTTCTACCTTTACTAAAGTACATGCTCTGAGTACTTGTACTTCTACTAAAGTACATGCTCTGAGTACTTGTACTTCTACTAAAGTACATGCTCCGAGTACTTCTACCTTTACTAAAGTACATGCTCTGAGTACTTGTACTTCTACTAAAGTACATGTTCTGAGTACTTCTACCTTTACTAAAGTACATGCTCTGAGTACTTGTACTTCTACTAAAGTACATGCTCCTAGTACTTCTACCTTTACTAAAGTACATGCTCCTAGTACTTCTACCTTTACTAAAGTACATGCTCCGAGTACTTCTACCTTTACTAAAGTACATGCTCTGAGTACTTGTACTTCTACTAAAGTACATGTTCTGAGTACTTCTACCTTTACTAAAGTACATGCTCTGAGTACTTGTACTTATACTAAAGTACATGCTCCTAGTACTTCTACCTTTACTAAAGTACATGCTCTGAGTACTTGTACTTATACTAAAGTACATGCTCCTAGTACTTCTACCTTTACTAAAGTACATGCTCCTAGTACTTCTACCTTTACTAAAGTACATGCTCTGAGTACTTGTACTTCTACTAAAGTACATGCTCCTAGTACTTCTACCTTTACTAAAGTACATGCTCTGAGTACTTCTCCACGTAGTCCTGTATTCAGCAGGTGACGCAACAGCCCTGGCTCCTCCCCTCTGAACACAGGGCGTGTTTTGGTGTCAGGTGACATCATAAATCAGAGCACGTGCACTGGGATAACTGTCAGCACAAGTTGTTTTCCTTTTGAGCAAACACTGTGTACCGTTAGCTGAGACTAGCTAGCTGTACCAGTCAATGCTAACAGGCTAATGTGACCCAGATGGCCTTTTAACATCAGAAGCCAAAAGAGATCACAGAAAAGATTCCGGCTGTTCGTTGTCATTAAATTAGATTTAATCTTATGTGTCACTCTGGATTATCCTAACCCTTTAATGGTCTCTGTATCCTGGGGGATAAGGGTGAAATAAATAGTATATGGGTGTATTAATGTGTAGTATGGGTCTATTAACATGTAATATTGGTGTATAAACGTCTAATTAATGTGTAATACGGGTATATTAATGTGTAGTATGTGTGTATAAACATTTAATATGGGTGTATTTGTGGGTATTATGGGTGTATAAACATGTAATTAATGTATAATATTGATGTATTTGTGTGTAGTATGGGTGTGTATAAACATGTAATATGGTGTAATTCATGTGCAATATGGGTGTAATGAAGAAAGAATCAAATCATAATTGATAGATATGTGTATGTGTAGGGTTAACTTCTCATATTGATGTAATAAAGCTGAATTAGAAGCAGCTGCTGAACAGCTACAACAACATGAAGGACTGTCAACAGATTAGCTCGGTGGCTAGCAGGCCGGCTAACCAGGGAAACATTCTCCTGTTTATCTTCATTAAGTTACACAAAATGTTATTTTTCACTCTTAATTACAACTAAAAAAGCTTTCAAATATAATAGTTCTCATAACGTGAAACTCACAGGATTTTAAAATATATTAAAATGTGTTTTGAACCAGCTAACATAACACAACATTCAAGCTAATATGTTACAGACATATTCATCTTTATGTGACATAATACATATTTGTTATAGTATCTCTAACCTTAATAATATATGTACCTATTTAAAGGCTTATACTCTGCTATCTAGTACTTAGTCTTTATTTGAGATAAAGTTAGTTAGATAAAATGACATTTTAAGCATTAAAAAGATTTCAAAAATAATAGTTGACACATTTAAAATGTGTTTTAAAGAGCTATGTTGATATGTTCATTTCCCAACTTGGGTTGAATAAAGTATCTATCTATGTATCTAGTTATTAATTACAAGAACATCAGCCTCATTTGTCAACAGATATTTTTTACTTTGTCAACAGATTAGCTCGGCAGTTAGCTAGCAGGCCAGCTAACATGCTAACAGACGTATTGGTGTGTTTTTCTTACCGAATGTCCTCCTCTGCTTGAAGGGTCTGTCGGACGGCATCTCTCTCGTTGTGTTCACACAGTTATTAGATATATGTATATAAGATGAGAGCAGAATAAAGCAGCAAGAGGACGTGTTTCTCTCGCTGTGATGCTCTCTCTGCTCGTCGCTCAGTCTCTGAAAACAGATCCAGAGAAACAAAGCGAGTAACCGGAGGCGGTGACGTCATCCGCTGGGTTTAAAGGGGACGTACACTAATTCATTATTTCTTTCTTTGGATTCATAATCATAATAATAGATTTATTTTGTTAGCGCTTTTACAGGTGCTCAAAGTCGCTTTACAAAGATAGTGAAAAGAAAAGAACAACAAATAAATATAGTTTAAGTCAAATTAAAATCAAGCAATACAAAAACAATCACACATTAGAAGCCAGATTGAAGAGGTGAGTGTTTTGAAGGTGGTGAGGTCAGTGCAGTCTCTGATTGGTTGGGGGAGTGAGTTCCAGAGGGAGGGGGCAGCGACGTCCCCCCATGTCCAGTGATTGATGCAGGTGGGGATGGATAGGAGGTTGGCTTCTGATGAGCGGAGGCAGCGGTATCAAATTTTAAAATTCAATAAATGTAATAAAAAAAGACAAAAACACGCAACCATTTTTGACTTTTTTTAATTTGATAAAAATCCCCATCAGACAGGTGCCATGGCAGAGCAGAGGAGTGCTGATCCCGCTCACCACTGAAATGCTGCACTTCAACATCTTTTTATCCAACAAAACAATAAATAACAATCCCGGTCTCCTGAAGACGTGCTGCCATCTCTCCTCTCCACTGAGCGGGCTTCAATGCACTGCTCCCTATCTGCATCTCCTTCTTCTTCCACAGGTATTTCAGCAAGTGTGCACTTCTCACCGTGAGCTGAAATACCATCAAAATAAACACAGTTGCAAAACACACAGTATGCATAGAGAGCAGAACTGGAATGGATAAAACATGGGAAATAAATGAGCCTGCGGATCCTGGTGCAGCAAGTGCTTCAAAACGTCCTGGTTCTTTTCATTCATAGCGGGACGAAGGAAATGTTTGGCTGTTTTACATTTAAATATGAGAGAGAGGGAAATGAGTCGGGAAGCAGCTCCGTCTTTCTCAGTCCGAGGGGTTCTGGATCACGATCAGGAAATAGTCCTTATCTGAGAAGACAAAGGATAAACTGTTTCAATATATTGTTCAAAAGTGCAAAACGTCTCAAAATAGAAAATGAAACAGAACTAAATAGTAACAAATATAAGGTTGACCGCGAAAGATACAAATCTGTACACTGTCTGACAAATAAACACAACGAGGGCCAAATGACAGGTAACCATTTAAAGAAGGATATTATTTATCAGAAACAGGAGCGCTGCGCCCTCAAACCAAAATGCAGATTTCCCCGTAAAGTGTTAAAGGTGGGGTCGGTTTGAAGAAACCAATCTGCCACTTCCTTCCAGAGCCCCTCCTCCAACACACACGAACGCGCACATGACCAATGAGGGCACGAGATAAATGTGTGCCCAGATGGAAGGCTGACAGGCAGGTAGGCCATCCAGTTACTTTAGCCGGCTCAGATGATTGGTCGAGCTTTTTACAGCGCCACGGCTTCCAGAGGTGATATTTGTTATGGATTTGTTGTCAAAGCACTTCAGATATTCATTGCTATCGGGATGTTAAGAGCATTCCATGGAATATAACAACAAGTGTATCTCGAGCCGGTTTCTCAAACTTACCTACCCCACCTTTAAGGGACTTCATTGCATCACATCAAAAGGTCTGTGGAATAACTAATGATGAACTGAACAAGTCTATCTAAACTGCGAGGGGGACCCAAGTTCCCATCAGCAGAAACACGTGGGTTTGCTGTCCTGGCTCCAGGATGGTGGAATGAGCTCCCATTGACATCAGGACAGCAGATAGCTTACACACCTTCCAGACTGAAAACTCATCTCTTTCGACTCCACTTCGAGCGATAGAACTATTAACGAAGCACTTTTATACTAATAAAAGACTGGCTTATCTAAAGCCAGTTGAGTAGCACTTGAAATGTTTGGCTCTATGAAACCTGATGTTCTTTATGATTCTGTTTTCTTCAAGGTTGTGTCTTCCTGGTCGAACGCACTTATTGTAAGTCGCTTTGGATAAAAGCGTCAGCTAAATGTAATGTAATTATTTAGAAGCCAAATCATGTGCATCTGGACCCGGTGACGACATTACCTATTGACGCAGCAACCACTGTAAGTTATATTCTTGTTTAATTAGACTTCTCCGTTTCATTTATTCGACTCTGTATAAATTGTTATTGTAGCGTAAACGGCTAAATCGCGTTTGAGAGATTTTAAATCTCAGATCTGCTCAGGCGAAACCTGCTTTACAGGTCTCAGCACTCAAGCCTGCATTATTAATATAGGCACGGCCAGTCTATTGTCGCCCATCAGCTGTAGATAGTTAACTAATTAGAGGGCCGTGGCCCTACAGCTGTGTAAACTGAGCAATCAGGCGTCCATTTTTGGGTAGCTCTTTCCTGGAGCGTCAGCTTCAGCGTCAGACAGCCGAAGACTGACAAAGACATTGGAGTCCTGCGGGAGTAAGACTGACAAAGACATTGGAGTCCTGCGGGAGTCACGAGGGAGGCAAAGAGGAGGCAAATCCTACTCTGATCGAGCTGGTGTCTTATTTATCTTTTCTTTAGTTTTCTAGCCCCTCATGCTATAATCATGTGTATTTTCTCCATTCCTGTTCATGTGTCTTCTCGCAATTATCACTGGCCCCGTGTATCTCCTAATCGCTATAACCGGCCTGCTCTCGTCTATCCCACATGCTCCACTGAGATCCAACATCTAGTTTCTGGTGGCCTGTGGAATTGCCAGTCAGCTGTTCCTAAGGCTGACTTCATCTCTGGCTACGCCTCCCTGCAGTCTCTGGATTTCCTTGCTCTCACTGAGACCTGGATTACTCCATCCAACACATCCACCCCAGCAGCTCTCTCCACTGCATATTCCTTCTCCCATACACCCAGACCAACTGGCAGAGGAGGTGGCACTGGTCTCCTGCTCTCTCCCAAATGGAGCTTTTCCCTCTTCAAGCTACCTAACTTCACTCCTTCCACCTTTGAGTTCCATGCCGTCACAGTAACCCATCCTATACAGTTAACCATTGTTGTTCTCTACCGTCCACCAGGCGCCTTGGGGGACTTCTTGGAGGAATTAGATCATCTCCTCTCACACATCCCTGAAACTGGCCCTCCCGCTGTACTTCTCGGAGACTTCAACCTCCAGACAGGGAAGATAGACGAACTAACATCTCTGTTAACCGCCTTTGCTTTCTCACTGTCTCCTTCCCCACCAACTCATAAAGCTGGCAATGTCCTTGATCTCATATTCTCAAGGAACTGCGCTACTTCTAACCTCTCTGTAAACCCGCTCCACACATCCGATCACTTCTTCATTTCATTCTCTCTATCCCTTTCCAAACATAACAAACTAATCTCTTCTCATCCTGCACTTGTCCGCCGTAACCTTCGCTCCCTCTCCCCCTCTACCTTTGCCTCGTCGGTGCTCTCAGCCCTCCCTTCCTCTGACTCGTTCCATCTCCTGCCTCCAAACTCTGCTGCAGAAACTCTCCTCTCTACTCTCTCATCCTCTCTGGACTCTCTCTGTCCTTTCACATCTCGGCAGGCTCGTCAGTCCCCTCCTGCTCCCTGGCTAAATGATGCACTGCGTGCTAATAGAACCGTCCTTAGGGCAGCAGAGCGGAAAACGGTGGAAATCCAAACACCGTGACGACCTCCTAACCTATCAGGCTCTCCTCTCCTCTTTCTCTGCTTCGATCTCTCAGGCAAAAAGCACTTTCTGTCAAGATAAGATCCAATCTTCCTATTCCAATCCCAAAAAACTATTTTCCATCTTCTCCACCCTCTTGGACCCTCCAAAAGCCCCTCCCCCCTCCTCACTTCTGTCAAGCGACTTTGTTACCCACTTTGAAAAAAAGGTTGATGATATTCGCTCTTCTTTTTCTGACTCACCTTTACTCACCGCTGGGTCACCAGACCCTCCTTTCACCAACACACTAACCTCCTTTTCCCCTCTCTCTCCAAGTGAGGTTCTTACCCTCATTACCTCTGCCCGCCCTACCACCTGTCCTCTGGACCCCATCCCTTCAAACCTCCTTCAGACTATCGCTCCTGATATTCTACCGTTTCTCTCCCATTTCATCAACACTTCTCTAACTTCTGGTCACTTTCCAAACAGTCTCAAGGAGGCAAGAGTAAACCCTCTCCTAAAGAAACCCACTCTCAACCCGTCTGATGTTATAAACTACAGGCCTGTCTCTCTCCTCCCGTTCCTGTCTAAATCACTTGAACGCGCTGTCTTTAAACAACTCTCCTGTTATCTCCATCAGAATAACCTTCTGGATCCGCACCAGTCTGGTTTCAAGGCAGGTCACTCCACAGAAACTGCTCTCCTTGCTGTCACGGAGGAACTGCACACTGCTAAAGCAGCCTTCCTCTCCTCTGTCATCATCCTGTTGGACCTGTCTGCTGCATTCGACACGGTGAATCATCAGATCCTCCTTCGCACTCTCCAAAAACTTGGAGTTTCTGGCTCTGCACTTTCCCTCCTCACCTCATACCTGAAAGACCGCACCTACAGGGTGACTTGGAGAGGGTCTGAGTCCGACCCTTGTCAATTAACTACAGGGGGTCCCTCAGGGCTCTGTTCTTGGTCCCCTCCTCTTCTCCTTGTACACAAACTCGCTCGGATCAGTCATTAGCCCGCATGGTTTTTCTTACCACTGCTACGCTGACGACACCCAATTAATTCTGTCCTTTCCCCGCTCAGAGACCCAGGTCGTCGCACGCATCTCTGCTTGTCTAGCTGACATCTCTCAGTGGATGTCTGCTCATCACCTCAAGCTCAACCTTGACAAGACTGAGCTGCTCTTCCTTCCGGGAAAAGATTGTCCCACTCTTGACCTGACAATCAACATCGGCACCTCAGTTGTTTCCCCGACTCAGACTGCAAGGAATCTGGGTGTGACCCTAGATAACAACCTGTCCTTCACTGCAAACATCGCTGCTACAACCCGCTGCTGCAGATACACGCTTTACAACATCAGGAGGATACGTCCCCAGCTGACTCAGAAAGCGACTCAGGTTCTGGTCCAGGCTCTCGTCATCTCACGCCTAGACTACTGCAACTCCCTCCTGGCTGGTCTACCTGCATGTGCCATCCGACCTCTGCAGCTCATCCAGAATGCAGCGGCTCGTCTGGTCTTCAACCTTCCTAAATTCTCCCACACCACTCCGCTCCTCCGCTCCCTTCACTGGCTTCCGGTAACTGCTAGAATCCACTTCAAGACACTGATACTTGCTTACCATGCTGCAAATGGATCTGGCCCTTCCTACATCCAGGACATGGTTAAACCGTACACCCCAACGCGTGCACTCCGCTCTGCATCAACCAAACGACTCGTTGCGCCCTCGCTGCGAGGGGGACCCAAGTTCCCATCAGCAGAAACACGTGGGTTTGCTATCCTGGCTCCAAGATGGTGGAATGAGCTCCCCATTGACATCAGGACAGCAGATAGCTTACACACCTTCCAGACTGAAAACTCATCTCTTTCGACTCCACTTCGAGCGTTAGAATTATTAACGAAGCACTTTTATACTAATAAAGGACTGGATTACCTAAAGCCAGTTGAGTAGCACTTGAAATGTTTGGCTCTATGAAACCTGATGTACTTTATGATTCTGTTTTCTTCAAGGTTGTGTCTTCCTGGTCGAACGCACTTATTGTAAGTCGCTTTGGATAAAAGCGTCAGCTAAATGCAATGTGATGTAATGTAATGAAAGGTTATGAGCAGGACCTGTACAAATCATATTTGTTATTTCTTGTAATTGTAAAAGTTATTTCTTTTTGATTGTTTTGTAAAAACAACAACAAATCCAGACAAACATGACGCTGATGACCTAATATTTGATTTACAAGGGAAATGTACGCTAGAGGGGGGAGGACTTCTTCTTCCCCCTTTTTTTATACTTTGTTATAATTATTATAAGTAAAAAATGTTATCGTTTTATAGTTGTATGTTTTGTTTCCGACATGTTCAATAAATTGACAAAAAAAAAGTGATGCCAGAAAACAATATTTCTGTTCGTCAGAAACGTGTAATTCCTCCAGAACTGTGAGAATCAAACTGAGCGTCGGACGGCTTTGTTTTTACGGAGCTCCGACGTCACGTTGTTGTTGTTTACGTCAGGTTTCTCCAGAGAATTGATATATCTTATAAACAATATCAGAGCCACAGCGATGTGCAGCGAGGCGGTCATTCTGGGGAAAAGAACATCTGACATTTTGTTTGAATAGTTACTGCTGTATTATTATTGGACCTCGTGTGAATCCTGTTTTTAACTCTGACCTGTTGCTGCTATTAACGCCTGCAGTTCCCCACAGGGATCTTATCTGACTGCCCATTTCAATTCATATTTTATTCCATTCCATTTCTCAGTAAATACTTTTATATTTCACTATACGAGTTCTCTATCTGCGTTTTTAAATGTTAGTTTGACTTGTATGCAGATGCACCACCACACCTTCTGCAATAAACCTGATGCTCTTTTTTAAATTGAATTACTTTTTTATTCAACCAGCTAAAAGTCTCATTGAGATTAAAATCCCTTCTTCCAGAGCGCCCTGGCCAAGAGGGCAGCATGAACAAAGTTACAACTAATGACCACAAAGCAACACAGGCAGAGGAACAGCTGGAACACACACATGAGAAACTGGCACAATTTAAAACGACTTCAAATATAAGAGCAGTCACATCGACCAATGGATTCTGTTCTCTGTCCTTTAAGATGGACTCCCCCAAAGTGATCACATCTGACCGTTTCTGCTCCTTCTGCACTTTATTCCAGGCACAAGGGGCAGCAGAGTGAAAAGCTGTTACCCAGCTCTGTTCTCACTGTGGGAACCAGCATCTGAATATAATCTGCTGAGTGCCGATGCCTCACCTGGAGCGATCATGATCTCGTTCTTCTTGGAGCGGATGCGCAGGAAGGTGAGGTCGTTCTGCGGGTCGATGTCTCGCACCGTGCTCCTGGCCTTCATCACCAGCTGGTGGATCAGCCCTGCGTACTGCACCGTGCTCGCGTTGTCCAGAGTCGTCTTCACGGGGATTCCTGAGGGAGGAGAGTTCATTTACACATTCAAGGCTTTTAGTGTCATGTGTACAGAGCTACGGTTCAGTTATGATAATGAACGTCTGAGGTCACAGGCCCCTCCTCCAACAGAGCAACACAACTACACTGATTACAGTGCAAGTACATACAATACACTAGAAGTTGTGCAGAATAGTCTATATGAAAGTAATTACAGCAGGATGGGCAACTTGGATGGTGGTGGGGCCACATCATGCATGTACTGGCCACCAGGGGGCGCAGATTCACTTGCAACACACACACACACACACATACACTCCATGTGTTGTATGTAATTATTAACAAATGTACTACGTCTGACATCTTCATTGACATTTTACAATCTTTCAGGGCACATCCTCTAATACGCTCACTGAACAAACATCAGTCCACAGAAATGTTATTCAATGTTTACACGTGGCATGTTTGCATTGAACAGGTTATTAAACAGTGGAATACAACTATTTAAAACTATTGGAAAGTTAATGAGATGAACCATTAAGATGACATACACATGAAGTCATGAACACAAACCAGACATTATTACATGGCTTAGTTGAATACTCGATTCTGATTGGTCAATTCAGAACACGTGACACGTTGTTAATACCGAACAGACAGACCGCTGTCAAGCACTTATTGACCGTTGTTAAGGACGCTCACATCTTCAGAAAGAAGTCCGGTCGATTTAACTGTATACCGTTGGGCCTGGGACATGAAAAACAGCGCAGAAGTAACGGGGCAGAAACCCTCCTTTTTACGCAGCGGTCCAGACATAGACATCAAACGGCGACACATATTCAGTGTGCAGTTCCTTTGGCATTAGGACAGGGATATCTAGATACTTCCCAAGGTTTGACTAAATGAATTGTGCTACTTTTAAAGCAAGCAGCGATGTTTTCAAATCTGTAATCAAAAAGCTCCTCAAAAGCGCTCTCGAAGCAGTTCCTGCCGTTGCTACGTTAGTTCAAACGGTAACAACGGACTACTTTTCTTAGCGGATGCATGTCAATTTAAATCAATACAACTATTTTTTAAATCAATAAAATAATTTTCTAAATCCATAAAAGCATTTCAATTAATATTGGGATTCATAATATTACTTTGTTGAGAATGTGGCCATGAGAAAGAAAGAACACCTTCAGGCCGATCTAGATCCCTCCGCCTCGCGTCGGGCTCCTGATCAGCTGTCGGTGTTCTTTTCCCCATAAAGACCGCGTCGCTGCACATTAGCCCTTACTTAGTTGTCTAACTTGAACCTCAGACACTGCCTGTCTCTGCACTCCCCTTATTCCACAACAAGGGGAGTGTCCACACAGACACCTGTCAGCCCACTCTGCTGTTCCTCTGCGCGGCCCCCCTCCCTCCCGCTGACATTATGAATGAAATGTTGGTTGTTTAGAGTTATTCTAAGGCTTTACTCAATGGGAACTCGGTGTGAGAGAGAGCACACTGTTGAGATGTCCAATCTGCCTGTTTTACACACTTTGACCAGCAGGGGGTTTGTGTTCAAATGAAGCCCATGATGAAGCCTCATGAGATGAAGCCCATGATGAAGCCTCATGAGATGAAGCCCATGATGAAGCCTCATGAGATGAAGCCTCATGAGATGAAGCCTCATGAGATGAAGCCCATGATGAAGCCTCATGAGATGAAGCCCATGATGAAGCCTCATGAGATGAAGCCCATGATGAAGCCTCATGAGATGAAGCCCATGATGAAGCCTCATGAGATGAAGCCCATGATGAAGCCTCATGAGATGAAGCCTCATGAGATGAAGCCCATGATGAAGCCCATGATGAAGCCTCATGAGATGAAGCCCATGATGAAGCCCATGAGATGAAGCCCATGATGAAGCCTCATGAGATGAAGCCCATGAGATGAAGCCCATGAGATGAAGCCCATGATGAAGCCTCATGCGATGAAGCCCATGAGATGAAGCCCATGAGATGAAGCCCATGATGAAGCCTCATGAGATGAAGCCCATGATGAAGCCTCATGAGATGAAGCCCATGATGAAGCCTCATGAGATGAAGCCCATGAGATGAAGCCCATGATGAAGCCTGATGAGATGAAGCCCATGAGATGAAGCCCATGATGAAGCCTCATGAGATGAAGCCCATGATGAAGCCTCATGAGATGAAGCCCATGATGAAGCCTGATGAGATGAAGCCCATGATGAAGCCTCATGAGATGAAGCCCATGATGAAGCCTGATGAGATGAAGCCTCATGAGATGAAGCCCATGATGAAGCCCATGATGAAGCCTCATGAGATGAAGCCCATGATGAAGCCTGATGAGATGAAGCCTGATGAGATGAAGCCCATGATGAAGCCTGATGAGATGAAGCCCATGATGAAGCCTGATGAGATGAAGCCCATGATGAAGCCTCATGAGATGAAGCCCATGATGAAGCCTGATGAGATGAACGCTTTTGCGAACCAATTGGCTGGAAAGCTTCAAAGCTTCATAAGGCTTCATCTCACCATCACTAGTAATATCAGTATAAAAACAGTGTATAATGGGGGTAATAACAGTGTATAATGGGGGTAATAACAGTGTATAATGGGGGTAATAACAGTGTATAATGGGGGTAATAACAGTGTATAATGGGGGTAATAACAGTGTATAATGGGGGTAATAACAGTGTAATATGGGGGTGATATTGCTGTTAAAGGGCTGAATATGGGTCTGGTATGGGTTTAATGCAGGTGTAATAGGGGTGTATTAATACAAACCGTTAATTTCCATAATATGATGCGATAACTGATAACTGATAACTGATAACTGGTGATAACTGGTGATAACTGGTAACTGGTGATAACTGATAACTGGTAACTGATAACTGATAACTGGTGATAACTGATAACTGGTGATAACTGGTGATAAGTGATAACTGGTGATAACTGATCACCTATATAAGGCTTGATGGTCTGTACCTTCTGAATTGACAATGATAATCCCCTGCACTCCTTTCTGGGACTGGATCCTCTTCAGAGTTTCCTCCACTTCAGCCTGGGGACATGAGGTAGCATATTGTAATACAGGTGTATGGGTTATTAAACTCCCAGGTAATAACAAGAACAATCCGCAATGTCTAGCTGCTGTCAAAAAAAACTAAAAGCTAGCCGATTGTATCGAGCTAAACGACAACGCCCGGCTAGCATAATTAAGCTAGTTAGTTAGCACTTTATTAAAATCCCTCTTATAACACTATCATTTCTCAACAGTGACAGCAGACATATATGCAGGATTATCAAATACACTTCAAAGCAGTATTAGCTTCTTACCATTTTCAGTATTTGAGTATTTCTGCGTGAGAAATGAGTTTCGAGATGAACAACAGCTAACAGTGTTGTTGCTATGAGAAGACACGTGACGTCACTGCCGGGTCACGTGACGCCAGGCTGCGTTCGAGGGCCTGGGAATAAAAATGGGAAAATATGGAATAATAGTAAATATAGACAAAAATAGATTTTATTTTTTTTACGGAAGAAGATTAGAGCCACACGAGAACACATTTTTGGTGATGTGACCAAAAGTAAAAAATACATTTTAGTTCTGACTTTAATTTAAAAAAAAGTGAGTTTTAATTTTCAATTTTGTAAAAATAGAAGTACTCCGATTGTGTACTTGAGTAAAAGTAGAAGTACTCAGATCTTGTACTTGAGTAAAAGTAGAAGTATTCAGATTTTGTACTCGAGTAAAAGTAGAAGTACTCAGATTGTGCACTTGAGTAAAAATAGAAGTACTCAGATCTTGTACTTGAGTAAAAGTAGAAGTACTCAGATCTTGTTCTTGAGTAAAAGTAGAAGTACTCAGATCTTGTACTTGAGTAAAAGTAGAAGTACTCAGATCTTGTACTTGAGTAAAAGTAGAAGTACTCAGATCTTGTACTTGAGTAAAAGTAGAAGTACTCAGATCTTGTTCTTGAGTAAAAGTAGAAGTACTCAGATCTTGTACTTGAGTAAAAGTAGAAGTACTCAGATCTTGTTCTTGAGTTAAAGTAGAAGTACTCAGATCTTGTTCTTGAGTAAAAGTAGAAGTACTCAGATCTTGTTCTTGAGTAAAAGTAGAAGTACTCAGATCTGTGCTTGAGTAAAAGTAGAAGTACTCAGATCTTGTTCTTGAGTAAAAGTAGAAGTAGTCAGATCTTGTTCTTGAGTGAAAGTAGAAGTACCAGAGTGTAGGAATACTCTGTTACAGTAAAAGTCCTGCATTCAAAATGTTCCTCAAGTGAAAGTAGAAAAGTATTCTCATCAAAATATAGTAAAAGACAGTAAAAGTAGTCGTTGTGCAGATTGGTCCATTTCAGAATAATATATATGATATGTTTTATAATGATTGATCATTAAAGTGTTCTCAAAGCTGGTGAAGGTGCAGCTAGTTTGAAGTACTTTGTATACTGCAGGGTAGCTGGAGGATTTACTCCAGGTGGAACTAAAGTCTGATTCAACACTTGATTAGATTTACCATCATTCATCCAGATCTGTGAAGTAACTAAAGGGATTAAATACATGGAGTGGGGTAAAAGTACACAGTTGCATACCATGGAAATACACAAGTAAAGTACAAGTACCTCAAAATAGTACTTAAGTACAGTACTTGAGTAAATGTTACTTACACCTTTGGTTTTGAGAGATGTCATCACGTGCTGTGGCTCAGCTGATAGGTGGATGTTTATGAATCGGAGGATCAGTAGTTTAATGAATCTGTTGTGTTTATACTTTTACTAATAAAATAAATCAAAGTGTCAAATGTCAGGAAAAATGTTTTCTGAGACAGCTGCAAGGTTTAAAAGTGCTCTGTCTACCTAAGGAGTGAATGTAAGGAGTGTGGGCGCGGCCCCTGAGACATAATAACACAGGCGAGACCGGAAGTTCACACATCCTGCCTTCAAAATAAAATAAAAGGGAAACATCTCTATGTTAAGGAAGATGTTGAATGCAGGACTTTTATTTGGTAACAGAGTCTTTTTATAATGTATTATTGCTACTAAAATCGGAGTACTTCTACGCGCTTTGAGCACCAGGAAAAGCGCTATATAAATCAAATGTATTATTATTATTTGATGATAACGCCCTGAAGCAAGAAAAATAGCAACAACAAACAAACCTCAAGAACCAATGTTCAGTCTTTTATTTTTATATGTATTGTGATGTTAGTCATTACTTTGAGATACTTAGCTATTCTTTTTACGTACTATTTTATTGTTTTGACATACTCAGTCATTACGTCGGGAAGTCATTATTTTAAGATACAAAGTCGTTATTTTGAGATATTTTGTCATTAATTTGAGATAAGTCAATATTTTAAGATACTTACGGTACGTCCACACGGCAGCGTGCGTTGAAGCTTAGTGGTGGGCGTGTCTGGTGTGGACCAACAACCAATCACATTAATCTCCCGCCCCAGAGACACAAGCACGCGGTTTGATTGGCTGGCGCTTGTACTGGCATATGGTTTGATTGGCTGGCGCTTGTACTGGCATATGGTTTGATTGGCTGGCGCTTGTACTGGCATATGGTTTGATTGGCTGGCGCTTGTACTGGCATATGGTTTGATTGGCTGGCGCTTGTACTGGCATATGGTTTGATTGGCTGGCGCTTGTACTGGCATATGGTTTGATTGGCTGGCGCTTGTACTGGCATATGGTTTGATTGGCTGGCGCTTGTACTGGCATATGGTTTGATTGGCTGGCGCTTGTACTGGCATATGGTTTGATTGGCTGGCGCTTGTACTGGCATATGGTTTGATTGGCTGGCGCTTCCGTCGACGCTTAAAAAGTTGAACTTTTCTCAACTTTCAGCGCGAGCAACGGAGGCAAAGTGAAGCAACGGAACCACAATGCAGTTCGGTAAAGCGTGACTTCACCCCATTTAAAGTGAAGCAACGCACGCTGCCGTGTGGACGGGCCGTAATTCATTATTTTTAAATACTAAGTCATTATTTTAAAATACTTAGTTATTATTTTTGACATAGTACTTTATTATCGTTGAGATAATTATTTTGAGATATTAAGTTGAAAATATCAAGTCATTATTTGGAGAAATCGTTATAACTTTACGACGCTTGGTCATAATTTTGAGATACAACGTGTTTAGTTGTAGACACTAATGTATTATATTTAGATGGCAACTCATGTTTGTAATACTTAGTCAATATTTTCGGATACTAAGGTATTATTTCTACATACTAATGTAAACTCAGTAATTTTTTTGAGATAATACATCAATATTTTAGGATAAAAAGTAATTACTTTGACATGTAAAGTCATTATTGAGATTCTATGTTATTAATTTAAGATACAAAGTCATTATTTGTACGTACTAATTCATACTTTTTTAGATTCTAAGTCTTTACTTTGAGAAATGTAGTCATTATTTTGAGATACCAAGTCATTAAAAACAAGTGGAAGACATTTTGAGATAATTTGCCTGAGTAACAGTACACCCAAAACACTGAAAAACATCATGCTTTTCTTTTGAAAACCCAGAACCGGAAGTGGTTCCTGCCTCTCTAACACACAGTTCCTTGTTTTCCTCACATTCACATTACAGAGGTTTTTCACCGTAAAAAGCAGAAGAGAGATGAACGGGCAGGAGGAAGACCTCGGTGAGCAGAGAGCATGTTTTAATAAATACTTTTATACATCTTGAGCAAACTTTACATGTTTCTGAGTTCAAAAAGCAGTGTTCTGCAGCCAGGGGAGTTAAGCAGGGATTTAATTAACAGGGAGAGGTTTAAACCAGGATATAAAAAGCGCCTTTTTTATCCTGGTTTTATCCAATTTCACTCATATTTAATGTGCATCAGAGACAGAGTGTTGGCTGGAGTTTAGAGGGACTTTCTTCCACTTTAAAACTCAGTTTAAACTCAGTATGGATTCAGTCCTGTCAACAGACACTGCTTCAGGTCACTGTGCAGAGGAGGAGAAGTACTCTGATCATGTACTTTTACTCATGTACAAGATCTGAGTACTTCTACTTTTACTCAAGTACAAGACCTGAGTACTTCTACTTTTACTCATGTACAAGATCTGAGTACTTCTACTTTTACTCTAGTACAATATCTGAGTACTTCTACTTTTACTCAAGAACAAGATCTGAGTAATTCTACTTTTACTCAAGTACAATACCTGAGTACTTCTACTTTTACTCAAGTACAACATCTGAGTACTTCTACTTTTACTCAAGAACAAGATCTGAGTACTTCTACTTTTACTCTAGTACAAGATCTGAATACTTCTACTTTAACTTAAGTACAAGATCTGAGTACTTCTACTTTTACTCAAGCACAAGATCTGAGTACTTCCACTTTTACTCAAGTACAAGATCTGAGTACTTCTACTTTAACTTAAGTACAATATCTGAGTACTTCTACTTTTACTCAAGCACAAGATCTGAGTACTTCTACTTTTACTCAAGCACAAGATCTGAGTACTTCTACTTTAACTCAAGCACAAGACCTGAGTACTTCTACTTTAACTCAAGCACAAGATCTGAGTACTTCTACTTTCACTCAAGTACAAGATCTGAGTACTTCTACTTTAACTCAAGCACAAGATCTGAGTACTTCTACTTTAACTCAAGAACAAGATCTGAGTACTTCTACTTTAACTCAAGCACAAGATCTGAGTACTTCTACTTTTACTCAAGAACAAGATCTGAGTACTTCTACTTTACTCAACTACAAGATCTGAGTACTTCTACTTTTACTCAAGCACAAGATCTGAGTACTTCTACTTTAACTCAAGCACAAGATCTGAGTACTTCTACTTTTACTCAAGCACAAGATCTGAGTACTTCTACTTTTACTCAAGCACAAGATCTGAGTACTTCTACTTTTACTCAAGCACAAGATCTGAGTACTCATTGATGCATTAAAGTGTTGGAACTGAGATGTGTTTCAGACATTTCTTGGAAACGAGTCATTCAGCATGAAAAAGCCTAAAAGATGAGTAATTGAATGATAGAATCTTAGTCAACTGAAGCAAAAAGACTACTGACTATTCAACCAAGAGCTACATAACTGTAGAACGAGTAATGCAAGTACATTAATCCGGCAGTGGCTCAGTCAGTAGGGATTTGGACTGGGAGCTGTAGGGTCGCCGGTTCAAGTCCCCGACCAGACCTAAATATGGACTGCTACTTGGAGAGGTCCCAGTTCACCTCCTGCCTTGCCGTGGTGCCCTTGAGCAAGGCACCGGACGCCCCCCTGGCACTGTACAATAGCTGCCCACTGCTCCCAGTACTAGACTCCTGGTACTAGGATGGGTTAAAAGCAGAGAACACATGTCACTGTGTGCTCTGCGTGTGAGGCCATTACAGAGGGGTTCATCCCTCCCCAATTCTTAATAGAATACTTGCAACAGAGACTTTTCAAAGCTCTTTATTCCTCTCATACTCTGATGCAGACAGT